AGCATGAATTGAGTTTATGGATGGAAATTAGTGAATTAGAGCAAATTGATCTCAACTTGAATTCAATTTCGGTTGAAGTAGCTTAATTTTATTAAAAATCATCAAATGACTAAGAGAGTCAGAGAACAAGTGAGCTAAAATTATGAGCTGCTAAGGCTCAATATTCTAAATTAAGATTGGCTAATGACTTACTTTCGATCAGTAAAATAAATTTAAAATTCTATTGAATTTGTACAAGTTTTTTTTCATTTTTTTTTACTAGTGTTGGCACCTATACACGAGTATGAAATGAACTTTTTTAATTAATTTGAAGGAAAACTTTCGACTAGGACATTTGGGTCAAATGAGACAAATTCACAAATACATAACATATACAAGCTTCGAATTCAATATCTCTTAGTTGGTAGCGATGAGATGCAGTATAAACGTGATTTGATAATAATTTAATAGGAATTAGGTCATATAGAAGGCTTAAAATTTGCTAAAAGGTTTTTGTCTTTTTTTTTTTTTATAACAAACAGTAGAACTTTCTTTTTAATTATTGTAGCTCCAAAATAATTGGGATGGTGACTACACATTTTGAAGAAAAGTCCTTTGTCTAATGGAGATGAAAAAGTCTGCTAAAAGGAATCTGATTAATCTAAGCCAGAGGCTTTAATCATGCCGACGGATGAGTAGAGAAGTTATACATATAATAGAAAGCCAACATGCAAAAATTATCTAAATTTTGATAAAATGAAAAAAAAAAATATTACAAGAATTTTCTTTGAATTAATCCACTTAATATTATGTTTATCGCACCTAAAAGATTTTTTAAACCCAAAAAAGGATAAACATCATTAAATTTTGATCCTAATGATTATTAAAATTATTAATTTCATATTTTTAAAGATAGTTGTAATATTAAAAATCAACACAAATTTATATTTTAGATGATTATTAGTAAAATATTTATCAGAAATGATGTATCCTCAAAAAATCATCTTGATCGGCCACGAATCTCGAGGGAAAATCAAGCTGGAAACTTCAAAAATTGAATTTGGGATCACCTAAACTCCGATTTCAGCGAACTTACTGTCAAACTGAGCGTATCGGAAATACAAACTCAACGACACCAAATTCGACTCAATCCGAGCCCAAATGAGTTCAAATCAAGCACCTGAAGCACTGTTGGAAACTTCAAACCATAATTTGAGTTACCAAAGGATTTCCAAATATGATGTTCTTATAGTTGAATTGAGCAGCTCGATGAGAAAAATCGAACGAGCCGAAGATCGCTGAATTCCGACATCATTAAGACCTTCAAATGTCTAACGAACGGTGCATGATCAAGGGATTCAATATCGGCCGTCCATTCAAACCACTCTACAATTGCCCTTGATCCTCCTATTTACAGGCCATGCCACTCCAGAAATTTATAAATAACCCCTCTTTTCTCTTGAGTGGGGGGGAGAGCCAAAGCAAGGAGAAGGGCCCAAGCAAGAAGAAAAAGAGAAGAATAGGAGGGAAGAAACTCCTCCTCGACCACCGCCGGAATTTTGCATGACGTTTAAGTGATGCCGGAATTCCACTCGACTTTCAAGTGACGCTTGAATTCTGGCCGACTTCCGCCCAACTTCTAAGTGACGCCAGAATTCTGCCCAAACTCTAAGTGACGCCGGGATTCTGCCCAAGTGACACCAGAATTCCGCCCAACCTTCGAGTGACTTCGGAATTCCACCCAACCTCCAAGTAACGTCATAGTTTTGCCCGAATACAATCCAACGCCGAAGTTCTCCCCGGCCGCCAACTAACGTCGAACTTCTACCCGACGCCGGATTTTTCCGGGTCGGGTTCGAGTCGTGTTTCAAGTCGTGTCAAAAATTGACACCCCTATTACTTGGTATTGCTGACGTGACTCATTCTTATTGGTCTCAGAATATAAAACTGCATTCAGCGCCGGCACAAAATAATTTCTTTAATAGAAGATGATAGGTCACTGGTTACTTGTTAACATCAACAAAAACATTTCAAAATTACACAAGCAACCCTAACATCTGTGAGATTAACAGGTAAGGACAGTGATGACTGTGATCAGCAATTGATTTCATTTATTTCGTGAACCTTTCTTCCTAACCTCCTTCACCTTCCACAATGTCGAAGCCTGAAAACGACGGTACAACGGTAAGTCGGTAAGAGCAAACAACTGTAAAATTACCAAAATTAAGGGGGTTTATCGCTTAAAGACGACTCCATCCTCTCTTCCTCTACGGCATACGTGCCCTTTTTTATGGGACGGAATGGCCGTTCCCTTATTTCGTACGGCATATTCTGTCGGTTCTAATACTTAGGATTGCCAAAAACTGATCCTGCCAGACCGTCTGATCTGGACCGCATAAAAAAATTATGCTTAAACTGGACCGTTTATTATTTAATTTATGAGTTGGGTCTGAGTTAATAAAAAAATATATTTGAAATTGATTTAATAATTATTCAGATTTAGATTAAATAGGTAATATGTAAATTAAATAATAGATTTGGGTTTGATGGAATTTGGTTCGAATCATATTCAGGTCAAATATTTTTGACCATATAATAAATGAGTTAGATTTAACCCACCAATTCTAAAATTCTTATTGTCCAATAAAGTCATGATAATTAAAAAATATATATTAAATAGGTAATACACGTCCATTGGTTTAAATTAATTTAGGCTTCGTTTGGGACAGCTTTCTTATTGCTTCTTAAAGCAATTTTTTAGTACATAAAAATAACTTTAAGAAGCAAAAAAGAAAGCCGCCCCAAATGAAGCCTTAGTGGCTTAGCACAAAAAATTTAAGATGAGCCCCTTAGAACTTACTCAACTCCATAAGCCAACTAGGTGTGCTTGTCTAGTATCTATGGGAACTTAGCTAGCAACTTCACATAGTTCCACACTTGCTTAAAAAGTCTTAAAATGCATATTTAATATGATTAAATGGATATAATTAGCATATTATCCTTTCATGGTAAGTATTTATTAGTCTTTACCTTGCAAACCTAAAATCAATTCAAATTGACCCCATTACTATTCAATTTTGGTTAGGCAAGTTCAACTTGGGTTACTTGGATAAAATTTGTCAATTAGAATTAGTTGGACCGTGTTTATCCAAAAAATTATACGATATATATAATTATTGTGTGCCGGAACATTTACAGTGATAGAGAGGTAAAGAACTTACCATCTTAGTTTTGACTAAAGATCTACACACAAACATATAAAAGAGGGGTGCAAAAGTTATGAGAGGCACATGAATTTTTATGTGAAAAATAATGAAAAAGGTAAAAATCGCAACGTCTTGCTCAATTGAAAAGATTATAATAGTGTTTTTTTTTGTTGATTATAAATGATGATCTTCCTCAGGAAAGGCGTCAGCTCGATGTAGTAAATATGCATCGTATAGAGCAAATTACATGATTTGAGTTGAAAGAATCCAATGACACGAGAGCTAATCTCAGTAAATATAAGAATATTTAGGGTGAATTTAGAGTGCTCCATGAAACGGGCCATATTGATTATCTCAATTATGGAGAGTTCAAAAACATTTAAGTGGATTAATGATGTCAAAGTACAATAATCTTGGGCTCATTGTATCATCTCATTGAGTCGCTTGATTCGACTATAAGCATGTCATATTTAATGATCATTTGATCATCCACTGAATATTATAAAACTTCCAAATATGTATAAAGTCATCGATTTAGGCCCATTTGGGTTTAGATTGGACCAATTTCGATGCCATTAGGTTCGTATCATCAAAACGTTGACTATAAGTTCATTAAAATTGAAAATCAGATAGTCATATATTTAATTTTTTTTCAATTTTAAAAGTTTCTAAATTATATATGCTTCGAGATTCATGCCCCATTAATTTTTTTTTTGTGACGAATAAATGTGTTTGACAAGTTGAGTACATGATAGTCAGGTTTATCTAAAAATCTTGACCCGTATAATAAATATGTTAGATTTAGATTCATTTTGAATCAACTATGGATAAAATCTAAATTGATAGCACTAATACTCTAATATCTAATAATTTGTCATTCTCAACGTGATAGCAATAATGATTCTAAGAACATCAAAATATTCATTATATTTTTGAAGTATGAGAATCCCATATAAATAATTATGCTGTCGGCAAATACAGATCTATTGATGTGGATGATAGGGTATTCTTTCTAATGGTGCCATACATGACAACAAATAACAATTTTGTCAAAAATTTAATGAAATAATTATTTCATATAAAATTAGAGCTTATCATTTTTAATGCCCGGCGATTATCTTTTTTATGAAGGACACTTGGAATTGATTAAATGCCCGGCGTAACCCCAAGCTTATCATTTTTAATGCCCGGCGTAACCCCCGACCAAAGGGTGCGCTGTCCCCTGCTAGGGCTATCAAAATAGGGTGACACTTGGAATTGATTCGACACTATTCGACCCAACTTGAACTCGATCCATTTTTGAAAACAGGTCAGTATTTCAGACCCAAATCTGACCCGCTTCAAGTTCAGATCGACCCGACCCAACATGGAATGGGAGTAACTGGAATTTCGTCCAGATGGGATGGACAAGTGACGACTGAATGATGGATGGTCACAACAGGTCGGCAGACGATCACGAGGAACCTAGAACTCTGGACGATCATGATAGGCCGACGGATGGTAACATGTTAGAATTCATCATCATGCTCGTGCTCGACTGTTAGAATTATATCAGAACTGAGGTTAAAGTCAACAATAAGACCCTATTGATTGAATCAATCAAATTTCATATCAAACTTAGAGAACATTGTTACATGTTAGTGAAAAATTAAGATGATATCTTAATAAAATTTATAAGCCTATTATGATGTATCCATAATAATAAAATATATATAAAGTTATTTAAAAAAATAATAAGCACTAAAAACGTAATTATTTGAAAATTAGTATAAATTACCACTCTCATATTGGATCCGACGGCAAAAATGAAAAAACACTCTTAACCATCTGATTAGGATTTTAATCTTCCTTAATCCTTCCGCCATTCTTTCTGCGCGGCTTTCTCTATAAAGGATTTAAATCCCACGCGCTACCACTCACCCCAATCCCAAGGAGACAGCAGGTAAAGACGACGACGACGAAGAAGAAGAAGAAGCGAAATCCTACTGGCAACCGAAAGGAAAAACAGAACATAAAAAGCTTGAAACTCCTCGATCATCCTCCACACGCAAATCTCGCAAAAGCTGCTCAAATGCTCCTCCATGTCCTCCTCTTCTTACTCTCTTCATCGTTGGTGGCGGCGGCAGCGCCGCCACGGCATCCCGGTGATCTCCGCTTCCGCGAAGCCCCCCAATTCTACAACTCCCCCGGTTGCCCCCGTCCTCTCTCTTCATCAACGGATTCTCCCTGCTCCACTTCAAACCTCGTCCATGTCGCCATGACGCTGGACGTCGCCTATCTCCGCGGCTCCATCGCCGCCATCAACTCCGTCCTCCAACACTCATCCTGCCCCCAATCCATTTACTTCCACTTCCTCGCCTCCAAAGCCATTCCCTACCTCAACTCCACCATCTCCGCGACTTTCCCCTTTCTTCCTTTCCTCATTCACCCCTTCGACCCTTCCCTCGTCTCTGATCTCATCTCCACCTCCATCCGCGCCGCGCTCGATCGTCCCCTTAATTACGCCCGCTCCTACCTCCCCCGTCTCCTCCCCTCCTGCATCTCCCGCGTCGTCTACCTCGATTCCGACCTAATCCTCGTCGACGACATCGCTGCCCTAGCCGCAACCCCGATCCCTCCCCCTTCCGTCCTCGCCGCACCGGAATACTGCAATGCGAATTTCACCTCCTATTTCACCCCCACATTTTGGTCGAATCCGTCCCTCTCCATTGTCTTCGAGGGCCGGAATGCGTGCTATTTCAATACAGGGGTGATGGTTATGGATCTGGATAGATGGAGGGAAGGGGGTTATACTGAAAAGATTGAGGAGTGGATGGAGTTGCAGAAACGGATGAGGATCTATGAATTGGGATCATTGCCGCCGTTTCTGTTGGTGTTCGCCGGAAGAATTGCCGCGGTGGATCACCGGTGGAATCAGCATGGGCTGGGAGGGGATAATTTTAGGGGATTGTGCAGGGATTTGCATCCAGGGCCTGCTAGTTTGTTGCATTGGAGTGGAAAGGGGAAGCCATGGGCGAGGCTTGATGCTGGACGACCTTGTCCGTTGGATGCTCTTTGGGCGACTTACGATCTTCTGGAACCACTCGTCTCCATTGATGATTCCTGATGAGAAATTTAATCCTGGAAACAAAGGTGAGGGCTTATTTGTTGTTTGTAGATAGAAACACTTTTTTAAAAAAAGTATTGCATTTGTTTGATTGATTGGACGAAACAAAATATCACCATAAGTTTCCGCCATATTTGGTTTGAAGGAATTGTGAAAGAAGCCATGAAATGAAACAGAATTTAGGTTTGCCGATCGGTCTGATTTGGACTTCCAAATAATGGAGATTACGTTTTGAAAAGAAATAAAATAAAAAATGGATGAAAATGTTTTTTTTAATTTGATTGATAAAAAAATTAGCTCTTAAAAATCATAATAAAATATACGAAATTGAAATTTAAAAATAATATTAATATATTTTTGATGTTATTAAAAATATAAACAATTAAATATTGGATACATAAATACATAAAAATAATATATTAAGTATGTAAAATTTTCTATTAAAATTAATATTTTTAATTGTTATTAGAAAAGGATATGTGAGTTTCAATAATAATTTGATCATTTTTATCTCAAATTTCATTAGATTTCAATAAAAATTATAATTACAAAAAAATTTCTCTAAGTAAATTCAATTTTACTGTAAAATCAATATAATTTTATAAAGTAATTATAATTTTATATTTCACAATTCCTTCAAACATCAAATCATTACTTTTAAAACAAGCTTCTTCTACAGATAATCATAACGGCCTTATATTGTTTATCTTTCCTTATTACATAAGCCTGATGAAATATGTTGAACACTGCAAAATGTATGGCTGGTTCATGTAATAATAGTACAGTTCAGTATCTCTCAACTTTTTGAGGGGTGACGTGTGTAAATTTTGTTTGTTAGAGGGGGTTTTGCGTTATATGGTTGTAATTCACGTAAGAGTCAAAACTTTTCAGTGTAATTAGGAGTTGAATTGGTTATTTAGTTAATAAAAAATTTGCAATCTGCCGGTCTTTGACGCTTCGTATCAATTCATTATCGTGGTGGCTTTTTTATTTTTATTTATTTATTTTTGTTTTATTATCTGTTCCATAGCGCATAATTAGAGTTGATTATCGGATGCTTTATCGCTTAAGCTAGCTTTATATTTATTTTATTCTAGGGCACGTGCTATCCTTGCTGCTTCCTGTCTTCCACGATGATCACCGACACGGTTGGTCATCCTCGCACGTGTCGGTGCCGTTTTTCCCAACGTGGCATTATCGTCGTTTTAAATCCGGCGATCTATAACTATTGTTGATGATAGAATTACAGCGTTGCCACGAGGTAATAATTAGTTAATTAATTAATTGCTGATGCAAAGGAATCTACTAATTGACTTATTAATCAACAAAGGTAATTAGTAATATATATTTATGGCGTTAGAATGCTGAAAGCTTTTAATTCTAAAAGTCTCTCGTTTAAGTTGAATGAAGCCCAAATGAAGAGCTCTCCACGGGTTTCTCGTTGGGTACCCATTGGATATATCTACATTCTGTACAGGACTGGTTTTGCCCACCCATGACAGCATTCGGGATATCGTACCCACCCATACACACCCACTTTTCATGTTTTTTGAACGCATTCCACCACGCAATGATGACCTTGAATTTTGTTACCATTTTATTTGAATGTAAACTTTCGAGCCTCATATTAGGATTTATCATTGTCGCAACACGATTCAGTGCTGAGTACTGCACAGTGAGGATTGCGTTAATATACGGCATATGGTGATTAACAATGTAAATCTATTTATCCTTTGATGTTGCGTACCCACTTATATCCAACCATGAGGCCATGGATGTTCCCATATACGTGGATGGGTGTGGTATGTGTACCCAATGCAGGGTTATGATGAAGATGCTGATAGCGTCCCACTCCCATCTGTGTCGTATATTGGCTGCTTTCATAAGCTCCACAAGAGGAGCATTAAATGTTATATTAGTCAATTTAATCAAGTGAAATTGCAATCAATAGATTCAATTTGGGCCTATAATTTTATTCGATTAAAATTTCATAATTTTTGTCAACTTGATAATAATTCAAATTTTAATTGATCTAAAATTTAAATCACGCGAGAATTATTCGCTTGAAATTAATTGAATTCAAGTTAAAATTAGCTTTAATATATATTTAGTTTTGTACTTTTATGTAAATATAGATCAGAATAATTGGATATAGTTTAATTCTTACACGCAAGGGTCAAAGTATGCAGACGTCTCTAAGCATGAATATGGATAACAACTATTATGTACTATTTTAATATTTATTAACAATAAATGAAATAATATAGGATTCCCCACACATTGGTAAATCAAATATATTTATAATTTAATACTAATAGTAATACATCTATAGGGAATTCATCTGAATCAAGCACACAAAATATAATTAAAATTTTGAAATATTAATTGAAGGATCATATCACAGAGCCACCAAATCTCACATGATTGGGTCAAATCGAGCATCTTGACGAACTAGCTCTGGATTAGATAATTATGACATCATTCATTCACTTTAATACTAAAAGAATAATATATAGGTCATTGGAGTATTCTTGATTTGACTATATTTAAGGAGTATGCTAATCTCCTAAACTATAAATAGAATTTCAATCTCTACATAAGCGGTACTTGTCTTGAGATACAAGGGAGTCAAACATTTAAAGAACTTTTGCGTTCTACTGAAATTTCTTCCCATCTCCATCATTGGGACATTACATGATAGCCACTATCGAATCATAACTTGACTACAGACAACTAAAATCCATCCCCGACTATGGTCATTCTGCCATCTTTACCCGACTTCAATCTTTTAACCATCATTGGCCCTCCAAGAACTATCTTTCGAATGTGATCCTTCAACCATGCATAATCACCCTATTATATTAATTCAACCAACGTCACTCAATTATGACCCTCAAACCATCATCACATGATTACAGTCCTTTGACGATGATCACCCAATTAGGTTATTTGATCTCCAGCCATCACCCAACCACGGTTTTCCAACTACAATCACTTGACTAAGTCATCTCACAATGATTGCTCAACTATATGCCTCTTAACACAATTATCCTAATAAGATCCTCATACCAACATCACCCAATTATATTTTTATGACTACTATCAACTGCATACGATCCTTAGACCACCACCTTGATTACAACCCTTCGACCCTATTGCTCGACTGCAATCCTCAAATCATTATGAGTTAATTACATCAACCTGCTAACTTCATTAGTGCCATTTACAACAATATTAACTCCAGATCCTTTGACCACCCCCTTGACTTTTTTTTTTTCCCCTAATATCCACCACAAAATCTATATTGTATGATTGATATCTATCAACACCTTTTTCAATCACAAGAAATGACATTACTTATAACCGATGAAAATACTAATATAATTATTTCAATTGGATTAGGTTCCAAGATTTTTCACATAGAAACCTTAGTTATATGTTTCAAATCTTTTTTTATCAAGACGTGTGTTGAATCTTTGAACAAAATTAAGGGGCTGCTTGGTTGGCTAAAAAATGAATGTAGTGTAATATAAAATGAATACTTTAGAGATGTTTAATGAATGTAAAATATATATAATTAAGTGAAAGTTTTTTTTTTTTCATTAGAAGTAATGAATGTAGTGTAATGTTCTAAGATGGTGACACCCGACGGGTGGTAGCGATGGCAGTGGCTGGTGGGAGCAGCCAATGGCAGGTGGCTGCGGCAGCCTATGGTGGTGTCCGACAGCACCAATGGGTGGCAGAGGTGGTGGGTGCCGGTCAAGCTACTTTGCTTGTGGTATAAACAGTTCTCGCTTAAAATTGGGCAAATTTAATTTACTTCAAAAATAATCAGAAATGATTTACACTGCATTTATTTTAGTTTATTTTGCATTCCCTTTTCATCCAAATAAATACTTGAATTTTCAAAACCCCTGCATTTGAAATATTTTACACCACTTTGCATTCCAACCAAACATCCCCTATCACACCGAATTTTTTGACACGCAATAAATACTTTTAAATAAAATCAACAAAATCATAAAATTATTTATTACGCTCAAAATATTGAGAATTTTACAAATTAATAAAAGATAAATTTTACACTTAAATTTGCCGCGTTGAAACAAACGCGTGCTTCACGAATAATTTGAACACGAGAGATCTGGTATGAGAAGACAAAATACTATTTTGTTAGCGCAAGCGTTCACACTTACAAAGTTCATCCTAATTCTTTTGGATCCTTCCTTCTCTTTTTTTCTCTTTTTATTTATGTAGTATGAGGAAACGCTACATTTTAAAGCGATCTTATAGTTAATAAGGAGACAAAACCCAATAATACAATTTGTTTTTTTTTTTTGAATTGTTCATAATGAACATATCACAATGATAATTTTGTAAATATGCTAAGAGAGCTTTACTTATGATCTATTCGTTCAAACAAAGTTCTTAAATCATATTCACTCAAAATTTTTACTATTTTTCATAAATTTTTGTGAGATGAGAGATGATTTCTTATGTTCAAATCTATTATAGCACTGTAGTGACTATTTTTATAAGAGTAAAATTTTTCAATATTCATTAAATCTTTCGAAAATATATTTTTTTTCTTAACAATTGTAATTACAAGAAGCAGATTATTTATATGTCATTTAAGTTTTGTTTGGGATGTTTTTTGTACTGTTTTTTAAAAAGCTTTTTTGCACAAAAGTTTTTTTTCTTTATTTTCTAAAAAGCCACTTTAAGAAGTAGTAAGAAAGCCATCCTAAATAAAACCTTATCTCTTAGAGAGTCTGTTAAGGAAACCGACATGTCACCTTGTATCAAAGGCATAACCGGTCATTACTTGTACTCAGTCTATATATACACTCATAAATGTATCTGTAAACTTAACTTCTTGAATAATATTTTTCCCGCTTTCTCCCGCTTCTGTCTTCCTTCTCCGTCTCCCTTCTCTGCCGCTCCTACCATTTTCACAGAGTCGTGGCAGAAATTCAAAAAAAATTCATTAGATTTTTTTTTTAAAAAAAAATTAACTGTAGGAAATGTAAAATTTATGAAGCTTCTTGCTGTTTTAATGGTTAATATATATACTTTTAAACAAACAATAAAAAACAAGATGTAGGTATTAGTCTATTAATTGAGAGATTAGGTTAGCATTCACTAATTAAGCTCATGAGTTAAGAGTTTGGCAAAATCATCTAACAGTACCAAACAATTAGGAAATTAGGAAGTCCTTTTCTCTTTGTGCATAAGCTGAAGGAGGTGTGATTTCTCTTTGCCTTGCTCCTGAAGTGAAAAGTAAAGGAAGCCATACTCCCTCACAAAATAATTTTTTTAACACACATATTTCATATATAAGCTCGAACTCTTAGTGTGCCTTGTTGTTTACCTGTATAATTAAACGGATCAGAAAAAACATAAAAATTATATATATATATATATATATATAAGCTCGAACTCAAAACCTCGTGATTGATAATCAAAGCTCCAAACCAACAGATCAATAGAGGCGCATCTCACAAAATACTTTTCATAAACTTTATTCAGCTTAAATTATAAGATATTATTTATATATTTCACGCATAATTAAAGCAATTCAGTACTTTAATTTAGGGGTGGTTAGTAGTTACTTAGCTTTATCACGTCATTTTCATTTCTAGGCTATGATCTTAAACGTGGGATCCATAATCTCTTTTTCCTAATTTCCTCTATGAAAAAGCCATTTTGGCAACTTGTGAAGTAGGGCTAATAATCATATTTGATTTTTTTTTTTCAAGATCAGTGAGAAAACTAAGTTTTGATGTGAATTATTGAACTCAACAGCTCTTGGATGCTGTCAAATATCTCAATCAATGTTATTTATTGGCCTTAATTTTGATCTTTAAACTTCTTGATCTAAATTATTTTAACTAATCTAATTGTCAAATTGCGATTCAGTGACTCTGTTGGAGTAGGAGCATTGAGAGCTTTGAAATGACGTTGTAGTTATTGGTTGGTAGGAGAGTTCAGCACCAACAACTACCACCAAACTACTATTTTTAGTGACTTACAACTGGTTGGTCACCCAACCTAGAGCTAGCTAGGTTGATTGAGCTAGCTCAAAAGTTCATCATACAAAAATTATTTTTTTTCGGGATAAAATCCACGTAATGAGGCCTATGCGTTATGTAAAGGCATATTACGAGTTCTTAATGAATCAACAACCTCCTAAAAAATATATCATTTGAAGAAAAACCTACAGATCATTGATCCAATCTATTACAAGATAAAACACAAGAAAAAGAACCAAGTTGCCCAACCAACAAACATCGAGGCACAACCGAAAGAGAGCAAACAACCAAAGCACTAGCAAGAAAATGAACTACTTTCTTTTAGACTTTCCACTACGACATTTGCCAGCCCTTCGTGCAAAAGCTTTCTCATCATCCAATTACT